AACGTTGGTAAACAAGTCATTCGCGTTGCCCATGAATGATTTTTTCAGTATTGTATTAGGCACTGCTAGTTGAAGATTGATGCGTTTTAAACATATTTGGTTGAGTTTTTTGGATGTACTTGAACTGCGGCTTTGCCTTACGTTCTCACCTTCTGCCTTTAGCAGAAAATGTAAACTTTTCAATAAGCCTAAATAAATTATCTAGAAGATAAAGTAGCTGCATTTGGCATTTAGCTCTTATAAAATGAGAAGATGTGTAAAACAAGAGAATCACAATAGATACATTCATGCTCTCTCACTTATTCTCCTCGCCTAGGAGCCAAAGCTAAAATTGCATCTGTTTTGGTTATATTTTAGAACTACAATGAAGATAACTGAAACTGTAAAAGAAATAGATGATAGGCATACATCTACCAAATTCAAGTCATGTTCTCTATTTGAGTTTCATGATCAGTTGAAATTAGAAAACTTCACCGTAACAGATGATCGTAATAAAGAAAGGGTAAATGTGGTGGCAGCAACGATAATTTGCTGGCAATTTTGGATGAACCCAACCCAACTGTTCAGCAGGTTCAGAGTATCTGTCAATTACCTTCACCTCATTTTCTTTTGAACCATATAACCTGATGTAGGTTCACTTTATGGTGTTGAATTACTTAAGAAAATCTAGGAAAAATTCTTACTAGACATTAAGATAGCAAGCTATCTAGATGTGAAGGTGCATTTCCAACGGCTCAAAGAAAAATGAATGGAATTAATATTGATTAGCAAAACAACACATAAACAAGGAGTAAAAATAGAAAAAAAGAACAACAAAATGTAAGGTATAGAAGATGGTGATGGTGAAGAAACACGTCATTCTTTGGACAAGGGTCATAGTAGGCACACCAAGTCAAGAGATAAGTGGTGAAACTGCCACTTGCTTAGGAGCAAGATAAGGTAATGGAGTTTTCACCCTAGGGAGAAGATGCTCACGAAAATATGGTTGGACAAATGAGTATTTTGATTTCAAATGTTCAACCCCTACAAAGGAGAAGAAGCACCCCTTAAATAGATAGTCTTGGGGGCTTCTTAGCAAATAACAAAAGTTCTAAAAGGGTACATTTGCAAATCCTAAAAAGTATCTTCTACAAACCTAACATGAAAGTAAGGAAAACACAAATGGAATGTTAGACTTCCTATGGTGATTCTTGGCTAAGACTAAGGAGGAGACCACATTTGTCTCATTCACCACCATAAAGCACCTTTCTCTTTATGCTTTATGTTTTCCACCTCATGCACATGTGGTCCAATCCTAACTTGTCATGTGGAGAGTACTAATCATCCTCTTAATCCATGCTTAACCTACAAGACACACAAATGAAACTAGATTAGCAATGTTGACTTAGGTCAAGTCAACTCTAGTAAAAAAGTCAACCCAAGTCAAGGTCAACAAGTCAACTAAAATTAACTCTACTCAATTCAACTTAGGGAATTCAAATTAAGCTAATAAAAAATAAAGATAGAGTATAACTAGAAAACACCCCTCTTGTCATGTCTTCATCATCCTCCCCTTTTTGGAGAGAATTCGACCACGAATTCTTATACCCTACATCAAAAGGAGAAAGATCACAAACATTAAATGAGTTACTTATGTTATATGTGGATGGTAAATCTAACTCATATGCATTGTTGTTGATCTTCCTAATGATTTGGAAGGGATCATCTCCTCTTGGGGTAAGTTTAGACTTTCTTTGAGTAGGGAACCTTTCCTTCCTCAAATGAAGCCAAACTCAATCCTCTTCTTTGAAGATAACTTCCTTCCTTCCCTTGTTAGCACTCTCTTGATGCTTGCTCACCTTTTTCTTAATTTTCCTTTTGACTTACTCATGTAACTCTCTAATCATGTTAGCCTTAGTGGCTCCATCTTGGCAAGTCCATGCCTCATGGGTGGGGAGGGGAAGAAGATCCATGGGAGTGAGAGGATTGAATTCATACACAACCTTAAAGGGGGAGTGGGAGGTAGTAGAATGCACAACCTTATTGTATGCAAACTCTATGTGAGGGAGAAGTTCCTTCCACTCTCTAGTATTTTGGACTATCATACACCTCAACATTTGACCCAAGGTTTTATTAACCACCTCGGTTTGACCATCACTTTGGGGGTGACAAGTTATTGAAAATAGGAGCTTTGTTCCAAGCTTCCCCCAGAGTGTCCTCACCCTAGGGAGATAAGTGGTGAAACCGTCACTTGCTTAGGAGCAAGATAAGGTAATGGAGTTTTCACTCTAGGGAGAAGATACTCACGAAAATATGGTTGGACAAAGAAGTATTTTGATTTCAAATGTTCAACCCCTACTGATGACACTCAAAATAGAAAAGAAACGATTTAGGGTTAGATTTTGAAAGGTGATTTGATTGAAAATAGAAAATACAAAAAAATAAAGGACAACGTAGGCGCCACAAATAAGAATATTTGATAAGCCAAGAAGGATTGCTACAAGAATTGGAGAATTCTTGATAAGATTAAAAGATGCAAGGAAGAATCCTAGAAGAACAACAACTCACAAATTGATTTTGAATAATACGTACCTTCATTCTGAATTTCCAAAATATTTAATACAACTTAAGTTTATGAGTTTGTCTCATTTGCGAGAAAATAAAGATAAATCAAAATCCTAATATCCTAAACAAAGTTAAGAAATAAAACTAACACAACTTCAAAACCTAAGAAATAAAATAATAATAATAATAATAATAATTAAATCTTCTAATTGGATCTCCTAGCTCTCCAAGCATTCTATGCATGTGATAGGTCTAGACTCCTCCATGTTTGGAGCCTTTAATAGTTGGGCTTTAAGCAAATTGGTCACTTTGTGTTCCAATGCCTCTTGTGTTTTTTTGAGTTTGTCTCTTGTCATAGGTCCACCTAAGTCTTGGATTGGATCTTGGTCTTGATCCTTCTCGTCATGGGTTTATGTTTTTATGTCCACATCACCTACAAAGGAGAAGAAGCACCCCTTAAATAGATAGTCTTGAGGACTTATTAGCAAATAACAAAAGTTCTAAAAGGGTACATTTGCAAATCCTAAAAAGTATTTTCTATAAACCTAATATGAAAACAAGAAAAAGACAAATGAAATGTTGGACTTTCTATGGTGATTAATGGTATCTAGAGGGGGGTGAATAGATGCAAAAATTAAAATAGATGCCAAATTTAAAATTTATTTTAAGATGTCCAATATTTATTAATTCAATTTTAATTATCAAATTGAACAAAAATAAAGCGGAAGCGATAATATAATCAGAGAGTTAAAAAAGGAGGGATGTAAGCACTGAGAGATAGGGAGGAAAAGAGCATACAGTAATTTATACTGGTTCGAGTATAGCCAACCCTACATCTAATTCTCAGTCAACTCTAATCATAAGAGTGACTCCCAATTCACTATCTTTAAAATTCAGTTTACAAATTACAATCAACTCAGCAGAGGAACCAGTAAAAAGTAAACTAATTAAAAAGACAACCACCTCCTTAGAAACCCACTAAGAATGAACACCTCCCTAGAATCTCACTAGGGATAAACACCTCCTCTGAATAAATCAAAGGATGAAAAACACATCATTTGTAACCAACACACAAAGGATAAACACCTCCCTAGAATCACACTAGAAATGAACACCTCCCCAAACAAATCAAATGGTGAAAACACCTCCTTAAAAAAATCAAAGGGATGAACAGTTTCCACACAGGAAACCCTAAAAAAACACAACAGAATGACAGTGATTACTTAAACCCTAAACAGAGAATTTAACAATCAATCACTTAAGTCCACAAAGGATGAAGGTAATAAAATAAGAACAGTCACACCTGGGTAATGGAGACAACAAATTATAGAAGTATGTAGAATGTCAACCCCCAAGAATAAATGTGATTAACAATAAAAGCACAGTAGACAATAGAGAACAGGATTTTGGTAAAATATCTCTGTAGCAATGCTCAAAATTCTTTTCTCAAAACTGATTAAATGTAAATTGTATTTTCGAATTCTGTAATTGTGTGTTTTTTATTTTCCATCAAAACTTAATTAAATAGAAAAATAGCATCAGAAAATGGTCATTGGACATTAATATTTTCGTTGATAAAAATCATGATATATTCAAAAATATTTATTCTTCAAAACAAATATATTTTTGGATTTCGAACTGCCATAATCGATTATCTCCTCAGTATAATCGATTATGTCAGGGTAAAAATCAATTTCTCAATTTTGATGCATCATAATCAATTATGACAGTGAAAAATGTCATGTTACGAAATTTTATCACACTTGTGCTTTAGAGGCTTATGCATAATATCAATTCATTAACTTGTACCTCCATATCTAGTATTCTAAGACTCTATCTAGTCTTCAGGAATCATCTTGGGCTTGCTTGAATGTTGAATAAAATCTTTATCAAAATCATATCTTGGGTTTGCTCGAGTCTTGAATGTTGTTAACTAGAATCATCATCTTTTGGGAATATAGGAACATGTTTCACATTACCATCAATTTCTCCCTCATTGTTTTTAATTTTTGGCTAACACTAAGGAGGAAACTACATTTGTCTCATTCACCACCATAAAACACCTTTCTCTTTATGTTTTTGCTTTATGTTTTATATTTTCCATCTCATGCACATATGGTCTAATCCTAATTTATCATGTGGAGAGCCCTAATCATCCTCTTAATCCGTGTTTAACCTACAAGATACACAAATAAAATTAGATTAGCAATGTTAACTTGGGTCAAGTCAACTCTAGTAAAAAAGTTAACTCAAGTCAAAATTAACAATTCAACTAAAATTAACTTTACCCGAGAATTCAAATTAAGCTAATAGAAAATAAAAATAGGATAAAACCATAAGATTCTCCATGGCTTCACCGTAATTTCTTACGTGGAGTCATTCCCCCTACACTAACAATATTGGACTCCACCTTGGTTCGTCTCCTTTCCCGTGGTCCTTGCCTTTCATAACCCAAGTCAAAACCCCCCATGAATCTCCATTTCAGATTTATAACCCCATGGAATAGCATAGAACTTAGCGACGAGCATAACCCCATTCAACGTTTTCAAATTAGATGTGATCTTTGTGTAATTGTGCCCTTTACTGTGGAAAAGTAGCCCTGAAGCTATAAGAAAAATGACAAGTATGGAAGAGAAAATGTAACTATTACTTTTCAACATGGCGTTAAGAAATAAGTGTAAGTTATTTATGTTTCTGTTGAATGCTTGTGTACCGAGTAAAGTGTATCAAGACCTATTATGCATAGCCGAAGCCACAGAGGCCCATATGATGAAGGCCGAATGCACTTCTGAGGTCAACTAGTCCATTGTACACTATTGCCTTATGCCCTCAACCCATATAATTCTCAGACTGAATTATACTAGAGGCTTTAAAATTTTAGCTATAAAGTGAATTTACGTTGTAGATGAATTACCTCATAGGTATGTGCAAATGTCTTCACTTTTAACTAACCCGCACCACACCTAAGCCCTATAATATAAACATAGCGTACAAAGGAGAGGAACCCCACCTACACTTCTATTTTTAATTTATTATCGCTCTATTTTATTGTTTTTAAGCACTTTTACATTCATCTCTGCTCTAGTCAGCTTCATCTACATCATCTCCTATCAAAAGTAAATCTAAGGAGCCTTAGACCATTGAAATCTCAACCACTCAATTAAATCACTCATAAACATGACACTTGAACAATTAACATAACAGAAATAAAACATTTCTGTATAATGTAATTCACAAAAAAGGCTGAAATAAACCCAATAATTTGTAAACCAATAATCCTCAGTGATCTTGATGAAAATAGCGTGACCTTGAAATAATTAATTATGTTTGACAAAAATTAAAATATTATGTGTGAGGATGAAGTATATTTTTATTAATAATCTGTTTTTTCCTAGCCAAATAACATAATGATTTTACTTTCATTTAATCTATCTTCTATTTTTTTTCTTAAATCAAACATTTAATATTTTCATTTTATTTCTTATTTTCATCATATCTATTTCCATAGCATAGATAATAATAAAAAATTGCTTATCAATTTAATTGAAGTTGAAAAAAAAAACTAACATGTAGTTTTTGCTTTAGGTGAAAAGATGGAAATAAGACCGAGTGTTTTGATGAAAGAAAAAAAATAATTTAAAAATTTATGAAACATAATTTATTATTTTCAATTATTTTTATTAATTTTTTTAATAACTATCTTTAATTTTCATTTTATTTCTCAAATATATCTATTAGATTAGTCCACCTACTACATAATCAATCATTAAAATAATTGCAGATAGTGAGTAAAAGTATAAAGTGTTTGCTGTGAAATTAGTGTTGTTGTTCTTCTTCATTCACTTGTACAAAGCTATTACTCAAAAAACAACTGGAAAAATCTATTGAGCGCGAAACAGATTCTCTTTCTTACACAAATTGTCTCACCTATTTTAGAATCACTCGAGTTATTTTACTCGACAACAACTCCTAAAAAGACATTGATTAAATTAGTATTTTTTGACATAAATCAGAATCCAAACACAGTGCTAATAATAAGAAATAATTGGCAACTTGTGTAACAAGATGCATCGGTTTTGTGAACAGTAACTCGCCTTTATTGGGGTCCAGTGAGATCGCACGAAAGGCAGAAAAGAAAATTTGACATGAAAAACAAAGCAAAGCATGATTACCGTGAAGTGCGAGGTGAGGAAGGGCCCACCAGAGTACAAAATATTTAATTATATAATAAATTATTTTAATTATAAAAAATAAAATATAAATTGGACAAGATTTTACCATTAAAATAAAATTTATATGAAGGTCTTATTATGATAAAACCTATTTAAAATAAATAATTTATAAAAAACCCTTGTCCAAGAAGACAGAGGAGAGCACCCAACTATGCTGCTCTACGCATTCACATTCCGCAACACCAGTCAACGATTCCCACTTCTCACGGAATCTTCGCCATCCACCACGTGTCATCTGCTCATTGGACATATCTTCTCCTATATTTACGCCTTCATTTCTCAACTTTCTTTACCTATTCATTTTCAGCCTCACTCTCTCTCCTTCAGGTTCGTTCTCCCCACTCTCTCTTACATCATCAATGCACTTTCATCTCTTTTTAGGGTTTCCATTCCGCTACTCTTTTCTCTATTTTGTTTCTCCTAGGTTTCATTCATCCAGATCTGCATCTTCTATTTCTAGGTTTTCACTCTTGTTTCAGATTTCGATATCGCCTCCTAGATTTATTTGTCTTGCATCGCGTCTCGTTAATTTCAATTTTGCCCAATTTTCTCTTCCTGCGAGGATAAAATGAACTGGAGTATCGGATCGTTATGCATGTGTTGTGTTATAGTGAAACTGGTTTTGGTTAAAATTGATTTTCAAAGGATGTTACCTAAGCTTGGTGTTTTTATTCGAAAATCAAATTAATAATAAATTTCAGTAATTTTGTTTATTTAGTGGGGAAACTACTCTAAATCGTTAGTACTTAAATCAAATTTAGATATAGAACTAGTTCTGATTAACCGATTTGATCGTATATTGTGAAATTTGCATTGCAGGATTAAGCGGTGAGATTCGCGACTCTGAGAAATGGCAGATTCTTCTCGGGAGGAGAACGTTTACATGGCGAAGTTGGCCGAGCAGGCTGAGCGGTACGAGGAGATGGTTGAGTTCATGGAGAAGGTAGCGAAGACTGTGGAGGTTGAGGAGTTGACTGTGGAGGAGAGGAATCTTCTCTCTGTGGCTTACAAGAACGTGATTGGGGCGAGGAGGGCTTCGTGGAGGATCATATCCTCCATTGAGCAGAAGGAGGAGAGCCGAGGCAATGAGGACCATGTGGCTATTATAAAGGAGTACAGGGGAAAGATTGAGACCGAACTCAGCAAGATCTGTGATGGGATTTTGAGCCTCCTTGAGTCTAACCTCATCCCTTCTGCTGCTTCTCCCGAGAGTAAAGTCTTTTACCTTAAAATGAAGGGTGATTACCACAGGTACCTTGCTGAGTTTAAGACTGGGGCAGAGAGGAAAGAAGCTGCAGAGAGTACTTTGCTTGCCTACAAATCTGCTCAGGTATACATACATATATATTGTTGTTTATCATGATTTTATTGAATTGTAGTTGTTACTACTTACTAGTTACTTATTTGCTGAACTGAAAATTTGTGTCCATTTGATGCAGGATATTGCTATCGCTGACCTGGCCCCCACCCACCCGATTAGGCTTGGACTTGCTCTCAACTTTTCTGTTTTCTATTATGAAATCCTTAACTCACCAGATCGTGCTTGTAATCTTGCCAAGCAGGTATATCTAAGGTCTTTTATGTTTTTTTTTTCAATCCCTTGCTGTGCTAGTATGTCTCAATTGTTCATCGATGATGAAATTGTAGAGTGTGGGCCTCAGTCTTTGATGATTGTTTGTGATTTAGTTTGATCTTTTTTATCACCTGGTGCTCAAGTTCCTCTGTATCTTCCTTCACTGGAAATCTCTTTTGTCCACTCACTTTATTTTGCCTTGAAAAGTCAGTTTTTGAACAGAACCAGAAAAAAATGCTTATTACGAAAGTCGGAGCAGATGTAATTCATAGACGATATTATATCAAATGCACTCATGTAGTTTTTGTGGAAGATTGTAAAATTTAGCTTTTGTTAAGAGTCTGAACTTTCCAATGTGATATTGATTTCAATACTGTTTACTCCCTAGTAAATACTGATTTCATAATATGACGTGTATAGGTACTGTGATGTATTTTTTGCCTCCATGCATTGCATTCCACTATTCTGCTTTCTCTTTGGCTTTTTTGTGATAAATCCTTAACAATGGCAGGCATTTGATGAGGCAATTTCCGAGCTTGACACATTGGGTGAAGAGTCATACAAAGATAGTACATTGATCATGCAACTCCTCCGTGACAATCTGACTTTGTGGACATCAGACATCACGGTATGTCTTTCTCTCGTATTATGTAGTACTAAATATTTCCTGTTTTGCTTTTAACTGTAGACTTTAAGGTGGAATTTTTTATTGGCACTTTGTGTAAACCTTTTTATTTTGTTGTCTAGTCTTGATGTTTGGACAAAATTAAATTGTAAAGGAACAAGCCAATGTTTATAGTTCTTTAATAAGCTGAATACCGACAACTTAAACCTTTAATTTGTAAGAACCTAGCATAGGAAGGTTGAAAACAAATTTAAACTTTTTGGTTTTACATTATTGTAGTTGTCCTAGTTCAAGTACTCAGTGCCCGTGCCGTTAAAGCATATTTTTTTCTTGTTCTTGTTGATGTCCCGTTGTAGTGTAAGAGTTAGGCTTGAATGGACTAGTTAAACTTATCCTCATACTTACAAATAATGACACAAACAGTTAGCACATATTCTTGCATTGACTATGCTTTCTGTTGCCGTTGGCAGCTTTTAGATATATAGAGTATTTTTGAGTTGCCTGTTTTCTCTCATCGATTTCAGATTATATTCGTTTTTTGAGTTGTTCACTTGAATTGCCTTTAATATTCAGGACGATGCTGGGGATGAGATCAAGGAGACAACCAAGCAACAACCAAGTGAATAGGCGATGGCTGTAGTGATGTGGTAGTTGGTGGGATATGTATTACCCTAAATTAATATAGATCCAATGTGGCTTGCCATAGTAGGATTGTATTAATGGATTTCATAATTTCAAGGGCGGGTTGCGCTTGGGATTTACAATGTTTCACTGGATCTGTCTTGTGTTTTATTGATTAGATGAATGTGGCTTGGTGGTTTAGTGATTTATAAATTTTTTATTGTTGCTAGTATCTGAATGTTGTGAGATTCATTTTACATTAATGCCTGTTTGTTTATGCTCCTGAATCACTTGCAGAGCAAAGCCAATTTCTTTCCGTTATTATCAAACAAATTCAATTACCTTGGGTTGAATTTGTTCCATTTAGTTAATGTTGTATTTTATCACATGTCTTTTTAAAAAAATATATTGAATCAAATTGGTATTTTAGTTAATGCTCTTTTTTTTTTATTAATATTAAAGCAAACACTACGATAACATATTTTCCAAACAATGAGGGAGAATTAGTGTAATTTACAAGAGAGGTATGTATTATGTTTTTCAAACAATACAAAGAGTAAGTGTTAAAAAAAGATGACAACAAATAATTGAACAAATTTAAACAGTAAAATTTAAATTATTTTTAATAAGTTAGTTTTTTTAAGTTTTTAATAATTAAATTTTTTAAAGATCGTGCTGAATATTATGCTAATACACATCTTTACAGATGGTGCTTTCACTTTGCGTTAGTCTGCATCAAATTCGACGAAAAGAAAGCAAATGTTTTTATTTTATTTTCTAAAATATTTCATGGTCATTTTTTGAAGATAGGGTTATAAATGTGAAAATATGGAAATAATTTTGTTATTAATTTGAATTAGAATATTGCATTTAATTAATTTTTTTCATCAATGTTGGAATCATCATCCCTTCTCAATTTATGGAGGAAAATAAATAAATAAGATAATAAAGAAAATTACTGCCATTCTTTTACGAAGTCGTTATCTTTCTCACGTGAGTGAAATTATATCTCGGTTATTGTAAGAAGGTTATTTGTAAGAAGGAATCAAATAACTAATGTAACTTTCAAAAGCAATAGTCCTCCATGTTTCCATAAAAAAAGTAAAAAATTGCTCCATTAATAATAACCTACCTTGCCCATGAGTATAAACAAGGATACATAATGTACTTTAACAACAATCAAGTCCGAACTTAAGATTTATACAAACTATCCAAATTACTGATCATTACACCAGTTGTAATAAACTTCTATGTCACCGAAAGAATTTGGTTGAACACCTACCGCTGATCTTTCGTTTATAATAATAGTCACACGGTGCCGAAGATGAAGTAGAATATTGAGAATTTGATTATTTCATAATTTTATTTCACAATTGACTGACATTATTTGACCCAATAAGCATTGTTTGACTGTTTCTTATTATCTCTCCACTCCCCACTCACAAACACAAGTTGCAGTGATAGTCTTCCTTCCCCAAATACGTTACGAAATAGGCCCAACCCAGCCCAGGAGCAGGCCCACTCTATACAAAAGCGCGTAACCGTTACCCTATTTTATTCTATGCTACTCTCCAGTGAACACTTTGGTAACTACGAAATGGTATGCTTCAGCGTTTAGTGAGGGTGAGAGCGATAGCAGTGGCAATATCTTCTTCTTCCCCCAAAATATCTTCCCCATATTCAATTCCACCCACTTTCACACGCACTCTCACATTCACACTCTCTCGCTTATCTTCTACCATGGCCTCCACCGACGACTCCCTCCGCAAATCCCTCGCTGACAAGCACGCCGCCGTCGAAGCGCAGGGAAACACCGTCCGCGCGCTGAAGGCCGCTGGTGCACCGAAACCAGAAATCGACGCCGCCATCGAAGCCCTAAATGCTCTCAAGCTGGAGAAAGCCTCCATCGAACGCTCCCTCCTCGGCGGTTCCGAGACCCGAGAGGCTTTCCGGCAGGCGGTGGTGAACACCCTGGAGCGGCGCCTCTTCTACATCCCGTCTTTCAAGATCTACCGCGGCGTCGCCGGCCTCTTCGATTACGGCCCTCCTGGCTGCGCTGTGAAATCCAACGTCCTCTCTTTCTGGCGCCAGCACTTCGTTCTCGAAGAGAACATGCTCGAGGTGGATTGCCCCTGCGTCACTCCCGAAATCGTTCTCAAAGCCTCGGGACACGTTGACAAGTTCACCGATCTCATGATGAAAGACGAGAAGACCGGCACGTGCTACCGCGCTGATCACTTGCTCAAGGATTTCTGCAACGAGAAGCTTCAGCGTGACCCGACCTTGTCCTCTTACAAGATTGCGGAGCTGAAGCACGTGCTTGCCACGTTGGATGATCTCTCTGCGGAGGAGCTTGGCGCCAAGATTAGGGACTATGGGATTGTTGCTCCGGAGACTAAGAACGCGCTCTCTGACCCTTATCCTTTCAATTTGATGTTTCAGACATCCATTGGCCCCTCTGGATTGAGCCCTGGGTTCATGAGACCTGAGACTGCGCAGGGCATCTTTGTGAACTTTAAAGATTTGTACTATTACAATGGGAACAAGCTACCTTTTGCTGCTGCGCAAATTGGACAGGCGTTTAGGAATGAGGTGAGAGTGGTTTGAAGTTGGTGTTGTGTTGTTGAACTTGGTTGGTGTTGAATTAGGAGTTTAATTTCCATACATTCTAAATTAAGAATTAAGGAATTTTTGGATAAGGTTTTCCATGCAATTATATAAGAGGCGAAAATAAGAAAGTGAAGTGAAATAAGGTTCTCCAGAAACCAGTTTTAGTTTATGGGAACTCTTTACTCTTATAGAATGTGGAATGAATTGGGGTTGATATGGTTTTTGCGTGTGTAGATATCTCCACGGCAAGGGCTTCTCAGAGTGCGGGAATTCACATTGGCAGAGATTGAGCATTTTGTTGACCCTCAAGATAAGTCTCATCCCAAGTACGCTGAGGTTGCTGACTTGGAGTTCTTGATGTTTCCCAGGGAGCAGCAAATGTCGGGACAGTCTGCCAAGAGGATTCTTCTTCGTGATGCTGTTTCCAAGGTTGGCTTGGTTTCATGGTTGAAGTTATCATGGTGGTTTTTGAATTTCTTTTCTTAATCTGTCTTTTTTCATGGCGTGTTCTCATCAGGGAATTGTCAATAATGAGACTCTTGGCTATTTCATTGGGAGAGTATATCTTTTCTTGACGCGTCTTGGTATAGACAGTGGGCGATTGAGATTTAGGCAACATCTTGCAAATGAGATGGCCCACTATGCTGCTGACTGTTGGGATGCTGAGATTGAGTGCTCCTATGGTTGGATTGAGTGTGTTGGAATTGCCGATAGATCTGCATATGATTTGCGTGCTCACTCGGTAACCACTTTGTTTAACTCTATACAATGGCTTCTTTGTCGCAACTGATAAATTGTTCGTTTGGGTTTTATTGTAGTTTGCAATGTTTTCTTTGCATCATTATTCAGGAAACTTCATCTAAATACTATTTGTTGCCATAATTCAGTTTATGAGGGTGTTCATATAGTATATTCAATAGCCTGATAATTTACCTCCTCTAAGAAAGTACTTCCTCAACCTACCTTCCTCCTTGACATTTTGGTTTTAAGTTATACAAAAATATTATTTGATTAGACCAAAGATTAATACTTTCACTTAAAATTAAACTACATTGACATTGAGGAATGGCTACACATTGATGGGGTAAAATGTGTTAATATTAAAACAAAAAATAATTCTGGCCTTATAATATTTTAATTATGCATTCTCATAATGCCCATATTTGATATCGCAGGATAAAAGTGGTGTTCCGCTAGTTGCTCATGAAAAATTTTCAGAACCTAAGGAAGTGGAGGTACTACATAATGCCGACGTTGTTGTTTTGTTTATGGATATATATGACTGGTCCATTCAACTTAATCCACAACCCTAAAAGAATGTTTGTACATCATTGAACTTTTTGTTTTGCACATTGTTTCAGAAATTGGTTATAACTCCAGTAAAGAAAGAGCTGGGTCTGGCATTCAAGGGGAACCAGAGGATGGTGGTTGAAGCACTTGAGGTAAATGATGCTGTTCTTATTTGTTTCCCTGTTTAGTAGTACCATGAGTCTTTTTCAAGACCTGCATGCATTAATTGACACTGAATCTTCTCTGCAGGCAATGCCTGAGAAAGAAGCTCTGGATATGAAGGCTGCTCTGGAGTCAAAAGGGGAGGTGGAGTTTCAAGTGTGTACACTTGAAAAAAATGTGACTATTAAGAAAACTATGGTCACCATTCAAAAGGAGATAAAGAAAGAGCACCAGCGAGTTTTTACACCGTCTGTGATTGAACCATCATTTGGAATTGGACGGATAATTTATTGCCTCTTTGAGCACACATTCTACACAAGGCCAAGCAAAGCCGGGGATGAACAGTTAAATGTATTTAGCTTCCCTTCACTTGTAGCTCCTATTAAGTGTACAGTTTTCCCGCTGGTTCAGAATCAGAAGTATGAGGAGGTTGCTAAACTCATTTCCAAGTCATTGACCGCTGCTGGAATTTCACATAAGATTGACACTACAGGTATGCGGAGTTCTCTTTAATATGTAAAATATACTGTGGATAATGTTAAAATATTGTAGTTTTACAGTTTACACTGAATGGTTACATACATGTAAAATGAAGAAGTCAAGTAAGATGAAAGTGGATAGTTTTTTAAAATTTGGAGCCCTGGAAGATTAGAGATCCTTCATTCTGGGAAAGGGAAAATAAAACAGAGAGAACACTATTTATTGGATTGAAGCTGCTCAAGTTTTGTGTGTCTTTTAAGGTAACCCCCCTTAAATGGACAATATACTCGCACAAAATAGAAGCGAATTCCTAAGCTTTACTAATCTGTTTTTGAGCCAAACAATGCTGCATGTGAATTAAGTTCTCCAGTACAGTAATAGTCTAAGCTTTTTATGTCCATAACAACACTAAAGCTACTCAGCAAAATTGATCAAGGGGACACCCAGGGTCCTTCGAAAAGTTGCCAACTCAGAGTTACTCAATTTAAAAAAAAAAAAAAATTAGGAATGCAACATTTAGGGTGAGGTACGGAGGATCTTGTTCTTAAAGACTGTACTGTTTTTCTTTACATGTCAGTTGTTTGCATTTCACGTCAACCTTTTGTTTTTAAGACTGTTTTGATTATACTTCTCGTAAAAATGAATAATTTGAGTCCTCATTCATTAGAGAATGCCACAGTTAGGGGTGTCAAACTAAAGTTAATCCGATATATTGCTAAGACTAGGTCAAAAGGTCTAAATTGAATAAAATCTATTTTGTTCCTGTCCATTTTTAGATCATGACCTATGTAGAACTTAAGGTCATGGTAGCCCTTATAGTTCCAAACCTACATGACTCTGGCCCATTTAGGTCCAGTTCATTATAGTTTTGTCCATTTTATAAAATAGTCAATTATTTTTTAATAAAAATAAAAATGATATTATTTTATTAAAAAAATATATGTATTATAAATTAATTTGATAGGATTTATTATTCTGGCCATAAACATCTGAGTAAGTTTTTAACAATTATTTATTCTAAGATTAATTACTATTTTAGATCAAATAATTATTAAAAAATGAATTATGATAATAAAAAGTAAGTTTTTAACCTTTAATTACTATTTTAGATCAATAAATTATTAAAAATGAATTATGATAATAAAAAATAAGTTTTTAACTTTTATTTTATTATTGAATAGATTTGATATCTTATAATATATATGTTAATATAATTTAATTTTTTTAAAATATTTTTATTTTTTATTTAAATATTTTTCATTAATTATTTAGGTATAGATATGTTAATTTTTTTTTTTTAATTTCAATTAGACTAAAATCGGGTCGCTACCTGATAAGGTTAGTTTAGGTTAAAAATATGACCTTTTTAAAATATATGTTGGATTGGGTCATCAATTTTATTTTTTATTTTTTTTACTTGGAACATAGGATTAAGTTGAACCAACAATTACCAAATCTCACTTCACACCGTTGAATATGGATCTCGATTGTGTCATTGTCAACGTGATCTATACGGGCTGTGGGTGTACTCGCTGCCATTTATAAAACTTTGAAACTGAATCCCTTGGCAAGACCAATATTTTTTTATAATCACAGTGGGTATAGCTGAGGGGCAGATTTGGTTTTGCATACTCGCCTGAGTTGTTTCGTTTTCCCCTTTTGAAGAAGCATTTGCTTCAAGCTAGGTGCAACTTTGGTCTGTTAGTACTTCAATTCTAGTGTTTTTTTTTCTTTGTAAAACTGATTAAAGATTTAACTGTCTTAAGCTATTTAATGTATCTTGCACTCGTTATTTTGTTTTAGGGATGAATTTATCCCAATTTTGTTGTGGTAATACCCAAATACGATTATTATTATTATTATTATTATTATTATTATTATTATTATTATTATTATTGTTTATCAACTTGTTAATATGTTTTAAAAATGTTAAATAGGTACATCAATTGGAAAACGATATGCAAGAACAGATGAACTTGGGGTGCCATTTGCTATCACTGTAGATTCAACATCATCAGTGACGATTCGCGAGAGGGACAGCAAGGATCAAGTGCGTGTTGATGTGGAAAAAGCTGCCACTGTTGTTAAGGAGGTAACTGAAGGCCATAGGACATGGGAAGATGTGTGGTTAAATTTTCCTCATCATTCTTCTACATCTGCAGATGATTGAATTTTAATAGTCACCAGCATCTAGGTTGACTTATCATAGTTTTCTGTTACCAAATTTTGTGTTTGTTTTTGAGCAATGAATCAAACTACAGGATATTACTGATTGTCAACAAATAGATACACTTCTTTTTTTGATGTAGTTTCTGCAACATTTGCAGTTGTTGTAGTCATAGATGAATGTTACTTTTACATATTACTGGTTTTCCAATTGCTTCTCAAAGTTTTTCATTGGGATGGAAGTTATTATCTATCCTACTTGATTTGATATGTGAGGGAAATCCGAATATTACTTCATAATGTTAGGCTACCGGCTTAACCTAGATAATATATTTGTTTTGTTTGGGTTATATCTGAAATTGTTATATTATTATTAGCTTAAGCACAAAAAGCGATTTCATCTCAATCTCAAGAGAATTCCAAACTTCAGTACTGATTTTATATCTTGCCACTTTAACTCTCACAATACCGTCGTTATTGCCCAGGTTTTGTATTGGCCCAAGCATGAGAATAAATTTCGTAGAATTTGTTTTTTTTTTTTAAATGGTGGATGAGTAAGAGGGATTTCACGATGGATAGTGGCGAAGTGTACACATTTGGAAAAGATAAACACGCAAGTCACTATGGGTCTTAAAAAGTCTGAAACTCAATAAATGCATGCCTACTTTTTTTAAGTAATCAGCAAGCAGGATGGAGGAGTGCAAGGGTAATTGCCGCATGCTATCAAATCGTTGAGCCACCCAACTTTCATTTCCATATAATCACAAAAACCTATCAGCTTCTTTATTCGACACATGTGTTGGCCTACAATAATTGCAGATATCACCTATAATGGACTAAAGAGAATTTAGATTACATTAAGTAATATTTTATACATTTTTACACTCATCATTTTTTTTCTTTAATCAATTCAAAATAGTTTTTCTTCGATTAACAATTTTTTTGAATGAGTCTATTTTATATTTATTTATTTATTTTAATTTTAGTTTAAAATCTGCTCATTAATTATTACATTAATTGAACAACAAAACTAATTTGAAATTTAAAATACATGAAGAAATATAGGTAACGTTAAAAAAGAGAACAGGTAAAGCACGACAACAGTGATGGGAAAAATATAAACTGAAATAATAGAAATATAGTTGAAAATATTATTTAAAAAATAAATAAATAATGACAACATGATTGAAATAGAAACTGTGTGAATGTAACGTTAAAATTTGGCAATAACGTTAATAAGAGACTAACTTAAAAGTTATAACTAAAATAATAAATAAACTTTCACATGTCATTTGTAAGAAATTCAAAATATTTTCTTATAAGCAGAAGAAGTATATAAATATATTGAGTAATACGAAAAAAGAACATTATATTATATTTTATAGATTATAAATGCAAAGCATGTCTCATTTTTCAAAGAGAGAATCAGTTGCTGTCTAAAGCAACTTAAAAATAAATCAATGGTACAAATTTCTTAGATTTTCTCTTATTTATTTCTTTACTGATAGAGAAAGTCTACTTAATGATGCTCATACTTTTCTTATTATACATATAGAACTAATAAAATTTTACTTCAATGGTTTTTATGATTAAAAAAATATACATTTCTAGTTAAAGTGTTTAGAAAAAAAAAAAAAAAAAGAGGCTGTGATAATGGCATCCTTCTATTCTTTTGCTGGGATAGGAATCAAAGTGTTATTATCGGCCAATCACTTAAAAACATTTTTCAACCACTAAAAGGCCCAATAAGATATATTATCACTTACAAGTGATGACAAACAGCCCATAGTGATTGGTGACAAAAAGACAAGACCCAATAAGGCTTTGCTTTTAAGACACTTTTAATCTTTCCCTTTTTTTTTTGGTTGACATCCTTCGTATTTTCATATTGCTTTCTTTTTTGGAGTGAGATGGGTCACACGAAATCTTACATCTATAAGGCCACAAGGGATAAAGTGACGATGATTTGCATGAATTAACTTGAATTTCCTGTCAGCATGTATCCACTGATGCTTTTCTGGTCGAATGATTTTGTTCACACAAGTTTTTGTATCTTATCGACCAAACCATGCATGACAGTACCAAGAAGTTATCTTCTGAGATTAGTTACTTTCTGCATCAAGTATTAAACTTTACTTTAAGCTGTTTGCAGTTTGGATTACACACAAAGGAAGTTGGCTATTGAACAGAGAAGCCGATCATGCGAAAAAAAAACATCCATAGGCTACTAATAGTAACAATAAATAAATATAGAACTAAATTATACATCAATATCGATATTGTAGTCCAATGTTTACTTGAAATCTATCATTTCAAGGACAAAAAGTAAAAAGTACATATTATATGCAGTCGTACTATAAACAAAAGCTGCTCTATATATTATAGAAAGGTTTCGCCATCAAGAAATATAGCTAACTCCAAAATATATTCATCGTCCAGCAATTGACGCCATCAAGAGATCAGAGGAATATGAATATGATTCACCCCTTACCGAGCAAAACTTGGAAGATGATCAATGAACACCGCATCGTGGTAGCTGTTTCTTTCAGACACAGTGAAACATGTCTCACTGTCTTTACTGTATATAATCTTTTATCCAATAGCACGTATCTGTGCCTCTCTTCATGTACCAACTCCAATTACCTTCAACTGTGATGGAAAATATCGTCATTATAGAAAATTATGATTATTAGGGTTAGATTTAAAAATTTATTAATATTAAAACCAAACTGGGTTAGGACAAAGAAGTTACAATGTTATTGTGAGGACTCCCCCAGTAAAATCCTTGAAGGAAAATTGGAAAAACGTTACAAGCTGCTAGGATATAAATCATCAACGCATGCATGCCCATCCATTCCATAAAAATAGTCATGCGTCTATAGCCACAAACGTCAACCTGCAAAGAGGGGGGAAATAAAACTAAGAATCCATCCCGAAAACAGTTAAAGTATGATGCTATCTTAGTCAAATTTTACGAGTACTAAAACTGAAAAATTATCAAAGGAAGGAAACCATGCAACATGTATGTCAACAACAATATAGAGTTCTAACATGTTCCATATAGTTAGAAATCTCTTTATGAACAAGAGATAATAAAATCTAACCATTAAGTATATTCCGACAAAGAGGATGCCTGCAACACCAGCAGTAACGCACATGTAACTGAGCGTGTATAGAACCTTATTTATATGCATTCCTACAAGAAGAACCAAGTCAATATCAGCAAACATAAATACCAGCGGCAGAATGGTCCTGTGCACGAAATAGTGCATACCAAATAAGTCCAACGCAAGGCCAAAAACTACAAGACAGGAGGTTGGGATCATCCAGTATATGATTCTAACTCTGTGGTCCTACATGCAGCAACAAGGAAGCAACTCAGTAACTTACAAGTTACAAACAAACCAAGAAAAAAATAATATAAGAGCAGGTATTACCTTGAAATGGACAATAATATGTCCGTAGTGCAACCCAACCAAGCAAGTAACAATAGCCATCACTGAACTATAATTCCACAAAATGGACACAAAATTAGGGACAAGAAAGAATAGCAATCATTTTTATAAACTAAATTTCACATTCAAATATTGGTCGTTTTTTCTCTCTTTTTCCCCTCATTGAGAGTGACATAGCGAGCTCACCTTAGGAGTCCCTCAGGATCAAAAGGAGCCTGACACCAAGCAGGAGCATCAGGAGGCAACGGACCATAGTTGGGAGAATTAATACTGCATTCCTATGGATAATGAAAAATGGAAAAGAAAAAGGTAAACTATTTGTAAAATTAAGCAAAAAGAACTAGCATATTGGATCAGAAAATCTAAGAATAGAGAGGATCATACAGGCATCCGTGCATATATTGGTCTCCTGTACAGGTGTTGTATGCCCAATATCGTTCTATCAATCATCCCAACTGCGTTACAGGCTGGTCCAGTGTCTCCCCTTACTCCACATTTAACCTAACAAATAGCACAAATCCCGTTTCAAACCAATACCATAAGTTAAATTTTTCTCAAGTAATCATTAATCGAACACAAGACATCAACACTCACTGAAAATGTCTTTGGCTCAGAAGAAGGTTCTGTTTGAATTTGATACGACCAATCAGGAATGTACAATCCATATATCAAGCAAAGATAAAGGAAAGAAATTATCAAAGCCACAGCCCTGTTACAGTAAAACAGATTTGAGAAAGAGGTCCATTGGGAAAGCAAAGATAATCTGAGAACATGGTTAGGAAAAACAAGAAAAATCCCACTAAAAAATCATGATTTGAGAAACGGGTTCAATGGAAGAGCGTCAATAACAAAATATTGTTGAGCAACACAGATAAGGACACGTTGAAAAGAAATTGTCATGCCATGACCAAAATAAATATTTTTTTTAAAATGAGATACATTCTGGTGCATTCTTCAAGGTTTGAATTGTTGTAGCTTTATCAAATGTCAAGTACGAAAGTAACTGTTCGAGAAAAATTAAGCTTACCATTGGTATCGATACTTTTTTAATAGGGATGGTCCTGAATTAACAGTATCATCATTCTTGAGCCAAATTTCACACAGTGCTGCAACCAAATATGCTAATGCAATTCTCTGACATCCAATGAAGAAAATAGGGAACGATAATTAATACAGAGGCAAGAATATAAAAATCCAAACACAAATTTTGATAATGATCTTATAGTCAGTTGGACAACTGTAAAAATTACCATAGCCTAAAAACCAAAACATAATAGGGAAATTATTAGATGGTTAACAGTGAATTGTTTTTGTAATTTGTGTTCAAAATCCTTGTTAGTAAACAAAAGTTACAGCTGACACTTAGCACTTGATGTTTCTCCTTTACAACAAGTCACAGGTAGAGGCAAAGAAAACCCCGCCAGAGAGAACATACCTGCAGTATTCCCATCCATCTTATTTGTTTAATATCCACTCCATATGTCAGATCGCTCACGCGATGGAAATAACCTCCTGGAGAAGACCAATATTAGACATTTGAAAAAGACAAAGTGCAAAGTTCTCAGCATGTAACATACATATCACATACACGTAGTTACTATAAATAAAAACAAAATCCTATTTTCAACACTCAATCTTTTTAGCTTGACATCCATTAAAAATAACAGATGCTAACAAAGCTTAAAATTTATTCAATAACAAATACAAACGGTCAGTTGAATACCTTGAAGAAAAAGACCTAACACAAGAAGTTTTAGAGCCCGTAAACCTGCTTTTCTTGATGCATCTACTCTGCAAGACAGTTTCTGTTGAAGGAAAAAAGAAAAAGAATAATTTGGTTAAATGGACCATTTATCATGAAAGTTCCACACAACAAATTCTAGTTCTATTTTGAAAATAATCTAGATTGCAGAATTGCCAGAAATTAAGCAACGCTATCACACTTTTTTTACTATACTTTTTTTATTTGCACAACAATTCCAACTGCAAACCTTGTATGTGAGTGCAAGCGAAACACCAACAATAAATAGGAAAAACGGCATGACATAATCAGCTACTGTTAAACCATTCCATGGGGAATGATTGAGCGCTGGAATGAGTCCACCAGCATCATCAACCAGTATCATCAGCTGCATCAAGGTAGAATAAGTTCAGTAAAAAATATGTAAAACATGAAAAAGAAAAAAAAAATTGTCTGTTTAATATATTCAAATATCCTGAGTTTCTGAAACACATTCCATTTGGCCTAAAAATGAAATATCAAATTCCCATTTGTTTGATATTGAGAAATACTAACATTTTGGGTCAATAAACTTCATCTTCCATCAAATATCCAATGGTTTGGTCATGCTTAACAGAAAGCAGCATGACTTACATTATCTCGTGTTTGCACCAAACAGCTAAATAGGACAGCTTATCTTATACAATTTTATTAGGCGCACCAAACAAAGTCAAAAGTCTTAAAAGAATAGAGTGTCAAAAATAATTACGTGAACAAATATATAATAGAGTCTATTGAAACAAAATTCAATTAGTTAAGAATTATCTTAGACTTCTTATTCAATGATGCATATTTGCCAACGACATCGGATATGCATGTAACTTCTAACACGTACAATGATCCAGCATATGATGCGGTCTTCCAAAGCGAATGGCAAGCATTGCGTTTCTTCGTCATCACCAATTCAAAAAGTAATACAAAAGTAGGTCATAGTGGTGACCAGTCGGTATTACATCTAACCGATTGCACGTTATGCTACCACCACCATCACCACTCTTTCCATGATGCAATAGTAACCTAAAATTAATTAAGAAAACCAATAGGCATTTATGACTAACCTAATCCATATAGAATAGATTATTTGTTGGCCTTGGGAAGAAAACTACAGAATCATGTCATGCGTTAAAAGTGGTGAAACTGAGATCGAATCAGAACTTATATTTGCCAAAATTGACGCTTACTGTCAAACGGTTGAGAGTCACCAAGAACACTCAACAGCTATTTTCATCACTAAGAGTGACAATCTATTTTTATCCTCGTTAAAAAGACCATGAATTTCTTAATTAATTCAGGTTTGAAGTGTAAAGGAGTTTGAGAACCAAAAGAAGCGCAAGTGTGCCCTTTTTCGGCTTGTAAACAAGTACTTCTATTTTCATTTAGGAGTCAATTTTCTTACCAAGAGAATCTTTATTTCTACAATTATCATACCTATATGTTCACTGACATAAAAACAAAAATAATTAATCAGGAAATAAACCTAATAATAAGAGGCCGTTACAAGACACGAAAGTACCCAATCGCTCGGAGGTTGAGTTATGGTAATATTTATTTCTCATATCAGTAATCAATAATTGAAAAGAAAAAAAACTATTTTTATTCTCCTCAAAAAACTTTGGGGAAAAACAGATGAAGTTAAAAACATATTCAGAATTTGAAAAGTAATTAAAAAACTAATAAACACAGGAATAATCATAGAAAACTACAGGCAGTGTGAAGTAAAGAACAAATAGAATCACATCCAAAAAAAAATCCTATTTAAATAAAAGTAAATTTATTCGAAAGGGCAAGTAGCCGCAAAGCTGCTTCAGTAGACTGCTGTCCAGAAAGAGTAAAGAGAAATAACCCAAAGTCTCCAAAAACAGTGGGGGGTCAAATAAATTAGTTTAAAATTAGAAATGCAATTTATGATAAGAGAATAAGAAAACAAAATTTAAAATAATTCATGATAGATATTATTGTTAAATAAGAATAAAAAATGGTGGGAAACGTTGGTATGTGTTAAAAGTAAAATGAGAGAATATTGAACAATTAGATGAAAAAAAAAAGAGAGGAAAAAGTAGCCGTAGTGCTTATTTATATGGACGGCTTTCCGAATGACGAAGAGATGACTAACAAATTATTTCTCCAAATAACACCAAACATATAAACAAACAAACGCTATTCTTTCCTTCAAAGTAAAGCAACATTGCTTTAACACGTGCACATCCTTTGCATTCCAATTTAGATTCTCTCCGATCACAAATTGAAGCCGTGAGAGAAAAAATCCCCAAGAAACCCCCCTTTCAATCAATCAACCTTTCCTCCTCCTCCAATTATAACACTTTCAAACAACCACCACCAGTGATGATTGGTGTGCATTGCTCAACTACAATCCCTAACTTCTTTTCTATTAAAATCCAACAAGGAAGGAAAGAAAGAAGAAAGGACTCAAACGACGTCGTTTGTCGCTACCCAAAATTGTAACGAAGGAAGCCTCTTAGTGTATTCGGTGACTGCTATATTTCTCGTAACACATTCTGAAAAGCGTAACTAAATTCCGAATTGAGAATTAATCTCGCATCAAACTCAAAAAGAAGGCCGAGGTAAGTGGGGTCCCTACGCGAAATCAAGGGGCTAACTTAAAAAATTTAATCTAAACATAACAGATTAAGTGATTAACAAAAAAGTTAAACCAAATATGCGTGATCTTTTTTGTACAGAAAATAAATACTTCCTATTTTCAACTAATATTTTTAAATATTTAAATAATAAAAAAAAGGAGAGAGGGAGAGATTACCGCGACGGTGAGACCCCGAAAAACGTCGAGGGAGACTAGACGCGGAGGTTTGGTTTGAGGCTGTGGCTGTGGCTGTGGCTGTGGCAGGGGTTGGTTCCTGGAGGAGATGGAGGGTTGTTCCTGAACGTTGTGAATGTGAAGCGGAGTGGTTTGAGCAATGGTGGAAGAAGGTGATGCAGATCTTGATTCAGAGATCTGGGTATGGGGGAGTGCCATCTCCACGTCATCATCATCATCATCAAAGTTCTTAATAGCCTCGTAACTCGCCATCTCTGTAATCAACAATGCTTCTTCTTGTTCTTCCTGTTCTCTCTTGCTACCATCTATTTAATATATCTATATATATATATATATATATATATATATATATATTCAAATCAAACAAATAAGAAAAACTGATCAGGAGGAGAATCCCTCTTTGTAAATAAGTTATGATACAAAGAAAGGGTGTTCTTACTTGAAGAAACAATGCACCAGTAGAAGGAGTCCTCTTCTTCTTCTTTCCTCCTTCCTTCTACTGTTTCTTCAACTTGTTTCTTCTTTCCCTTCGTTTCCCTTCCTCCCTGCTTTTATAGGCCATTATTTCAAGAAACACACAGGCGACAACACAATTTTGATATTTTCCGTCTCTTATTTATTCCCCTATTTATTATTTATTATAAATAAATAAATCACAATATAATGTATATGCCCCTCAAAAAAAGCTTCCTCGGATAAGGTCGCGTTACTCCTTTTAAAAATAAAAAAATCACTGCTCCACTGAGTCTGCTGCGATTCTTTTTAAAGTATAATATAGTGGTAATTAATATTAAACATAATTTCGTTCTATTTTTATTTAAAGTATAATAAATAGTATATGATTTTTATTGGTTGATGTGCGTGCCGTTAACCATTAACCACATTACCACGCTCTTGTTACCCCCTCGTCGACACCAAGGCCACTCGTTATCTAATTTCTTTTATTTAACCTAATTACTCGCCTTAATTTCTTTAATTCATCTTTTAAATGAAATTTATATAATCCTAAACAAGTAGGAATAGTTAAATATCTTACGTTCACTAGATAACCGTTTTAATTTTTTCTATTTCATATCCTAAGAAGGTAATTTCAAAAACAAACCTAAAAAGTAAAATTTTTAATATTTATATTCACAAAATGTTATTTTTTTATTATTTAAAACATATACAGTATTAGTAATTATTTACTCATTTTGAAAGTTATCCATTTTTCCGCGACGATAAACAATATATGCTAATATCATAACCTAGTCAGTCTTTTAAATTTTAAATATTCTTATGTTCACAAAAATATTGATAATACTTATTTTTTATTACTTAATATACATATATATATATATATAGTAGTAATAATTATGTGATTACTCATCTTATTTTCTGGGTTCATGTTTTGATATGTTTACCAAATACATGAAATTTAAATCATCCTGAAAAGGAAATTTTAATATGTTAACAAAATATTATTAATTATACTTAATATCTTTAAAATATGGAAGAACATTGAAAATTATTTAAGGGAAATCTAGCAAATCTCTTGGGTATTGTTTGGGCCACTCAGTGTCGAGCTCGCTAGCGTGTAAAATCAGAAACAACAAGATATTAAAGCGTTGTAGAAAGATAATTATGATGTTATTATACAATATTTATATTATTTTTAACATAAACTTTTCAACATTTTTTTCCCCACAGTTTTAATGAGTTTTAATTAATTGGCGTAGCATGTTGATGTTGGAGACATTACGCTAAATCCATGCGTACGTGGTTCCTTCCTTCATACTTGGCATTGAAAGAATCAGAAGACGAATTCCCTGAACCAAGTCAAAGCTTCAAAAGTTCAGATTTCATAGGTTGGTTCTTCGCTTAATAACTCCACTGCAACTACATTTGGACCAAGCCAATGTTCCTCTGCCTCATTATTGGTTAGCCCGACTTGGTCTATGTTTCCCATGTCAAGGGACCCAAATGCTTATATGTTCTTAACAAATTCATATACTATTAAACAGTAACTGGATATGTATTACGTGAGAGTTTTAAAAAATTAAGAAAATTTTCACAAACTAAAGAAAAATATGTTTGAAAAGCTTGAAATTAACGAGAATATTTACTTAGAAAGATTGAAAGAGTAGTGGAAAAGATGATAGGAAAAGGGAACATCCATCGCCACGCACCAAAAGGAATATAGAACATTTCGTACACGTTTTTTTTTTTTACAAAAAAATTCCATACACGTTTAGAAATATCACAAACAGTACATAGTGCAAAAAGTTATTAACAAACATTATAGGTGATTTTAGGTTTAAAATTAAGATTAATTGATAGTTAGGAGTATTAATTTCTTTTTGAGTATTTAATAAGTGCAAAATATAATGAATAAGCCTTGATTTTCCGTACGTAACTCATGTACCGCGATATTTTTCCACGATATCCGCGAATAATATTTGCTAATAAAAGTTGGGATGTGACAACGGCAATTTATTTTGCATTTTCTCGTATTAGTATATATGCATATTATATGATTAGGGAAATTGAAATTCTTATAAACATGGGTCAAAGATTCAAATAAAAAAGAAAAAGAAAAAAAGTTCAATCCCTGTAAAATGATTATATCTGTCACCGAGATACGTATGTATAACCCTTGTCTAATTTTGTTTATTCTCTTTTATTGATAATTCGGTTTCTTAGGAAAAATTAAAATGAGGGAGGGAAGTAGTAGGGTTAGGGTAAAAAAAAAATCTGTAAAATTTCATGACAAAATATATTATAATTTTATAAAATAATGTTTTTATATATTGCTCTTTAAGAGCACTTTTCTTACTCCACAATACACAAAACATACGTCACGGGTTTTGCTTAACTCGTAATTGGAGCAGTTGTGAGTTTTCTGACTTTCGTTACATTTGCTTCTTTTTATGTGATAGATAATTTTCAATTAATGTCATGCAAGTGGTCTCAACTTTTTTTTTTACATGCTGTTTTGTTGATATAGATATTTATTATGTAAACTCCTTCAAATTTCAGCAACCTATTTTATTTTCTTACATTTCATTACAGTTGGTTTGCCTTTCAATGATACCATTAATTTTTTTTGTGTTCTATCAAGTTTGATTTTTTATAATAATTATTTTTTCCTCAAGTCCTAAGTATTAAATACATTAATATACAAGAATATAAATAAGTTACTATTAACCAATAATGAAATAAAACTTTAGAATTTTAAAAAGTTATTATTATTTGTTGTGATTTTTAATACATTGATTATATAAGTTAGTTTCCAAATATAAACTTTTTTTCATTTTTAAATATGAAATGCAATTTTTATCATAGTCAAAGTTTATTATTTTTTTTATCTAACTAATATTTTTGTTATTTTATCATTGAACTAGTCCGTTACTAACTATGTCAACGATTTGTTTGACATGTCAGTTAAAAACTAAGGCACATCAGCAATTCAACACTTCAATAACTAGTATACGTCACTGGATACATACTGTTATTTTTTATTTAACACGCTTAGGGTGTGTTTTCATGTATTTAAATATTTTTTAATTTAATTTATCGTAAGAATGATGAGAGGCTAGAATAAAAACAATTTATATTTAGAGACTATAATAAGAAATATTTATGCCACTTAACTCAAAAAATGTTATATGTTGTTAAAGAGAATATCAAATCAACAATAAATATATATATATATATATATATATATATATATATATATATATATATATATATATATATATATATATATATATATTATTTGAAAGAGGGTGGTTGATTCAGCTTTACTTTGAAAATTTAATAATAAGTGAAATGAAAAATTATTATTTTGCAGTAGAGAAATTACATCATGTTATAATTGTCTTGAAATGATATAATTTCTCATGTTTAATGAAAGAGTTTGAAATAAATCAATTTGATGCGGGGACAAATTAATCATATTATCTCATAACACACGTCCCATATGGAGACAAATTAATGTAACTTGTCTTAATTGTTCTAAATTCCTAATATTTGTTCACAATATTGGGGAATCTCATCACCTTTCTTTTCGGAGTGGAAAATAAGCATGAACTTTGTGTTTGTTTACACGTATCGCGAGCTATGTTAAATCATTGTGTAGTAATGGCTAACATTCACAACTTTTGATTATATCTGTCTTTTTTTCCTCAAACGGCAGGATTCAAAATTTGTTATACCTAATCAAATTTCTAATATATGAACGATTATCATTTGTAATTTGTAATTTTAATAAATATATGATTAAGGTATTGTTCGTATGATTTTTCCATCACCATGTGTACCTGAACTCCTAAATAAATGTAACTATTTGTATTTTTACTTTTACTTGCATTATATATTTTTATAAACATATTGGAGTTAATCGTGTAAGATATTTTTTTATCAACTCTTTCTCCAGCCATACGTCTTCTATCCATAAAATTTAAAATAGGCTTCCTCCATCAGTATTTTTTTCTATTTTATAAAATTCATTTATATATATATATATATATATACACGATGTTGAAAAAGAAATATTTTTTATTGTTTTAAGTAGAAAAACTACGAGGGTTTTTGTAAACTATTTCTTTGTAAACAATAAAAAATATAAACTGTCGCGGAAATTTAACATTTTAACAATGAAATGTACAATAGCTTAATTTTTAACAGTGTAAAAAAAAACTAAAAACGTTTTTTTCTCATCACTAATGCTTCAAATTTATTGGGTCAAATATTAATCGACCTGGCATATATTGTAAATATCATTGATTTGAAATCAACATAAGAGTTTGGTTGGAGCAAGGGGAGCCATGGCCCCCCAATTATTTTAAAGACGCGTGTGTAGTGAGAGAGAGATGTATTTTTAGTACATGTTTCTAAATGCGTGTGTAACAATAATATACGAGTAAATATTAGAATGTATTTTAAAACATTTCTCTCCCTCAACTGTTTCGATCAAGTTACGTCACTAGTTCCAAAGATAGATTTCACAAACACAACATTTTTTACTTAAAAAAAAAAAAGTTGTTCTAATATGACATATGAAAATATGGTGTCGTCTTATTAACCTACAAATTTGAAGACATTTTAAATTATAAAAAAAATGGTAATTGTTTTGCATTTAAAGACTTAAATTGATTATATCATCAGTGAGAGTATTTAAAAATTAATAATGATGGAGGTTCTCATGTGGGGTATTGGGCATTGAGGGAACATAAAGGTTGAAATTGAAGGGCCACACGACCGTAGTGCGGAAGATAAGATGAACTCGCGTTTTCTAGTTAACGTATGACCACGACACTGCACCGTCCATTGCCTATACGTAACTTGGTCGAAAATGGCATGAACAATGCATCACACACATGCAACGCAACTCCAATTCCAATTAATTATTTAATTAATCATAACCATTTTGTGTGGTTAGTGCATGATGTCCACAAATTGCCTTATGCCTCAAACCAGACAAATTAACCTAAACCAATGATCATTAAGGTAGTTGTTCTAGCTCCTCATCTTTATTTTTAAACTGCTTCAACTTCGTTTTATAATGTTCCATGCACCTAATTAAACCCCAAAGGGTAAGTTAAAAAATGGTTTCATCAAAAGCAAATCTCCACCATTAGCATGTGCATTTGATTTGTGACATAAACTTATGTATTCATGTATTTATTTTAATCACCTCTTAAACAACTATATTATAATTAAACCTCTTAAACAAAAAGTAAAGAACTGCAAGCATTATTACATTAACCAAATTCCAAACATATGATACTACTATATCACATGAAATATAAAGCAACCACTAGTAGTGCACGATTTATTGCACTTTCCATGCTTGTCACTTTATAAGTGGCTAAAAGAGTAGGTAAAAGTTAACCAATCTAATTAAATAACAATATCTTCTCTTCCTGTTGTGCCCCCATATTGTCACATACATATATATTAAAAAAAAAAAAACAGATCAGGCTTAGTGCTATATATATATATATATATATATATATATATATATATATATATATATATATATATATATACTTTTTTACTATTCTTAGAACTTATATTTAGTACATATTTACCAATTTATAAAATGATTAACCATTAAAATATTTTTTGATTCATTATTACACATAAAAAAGCCCCTTCCGACCGACTTACATTGTGAATAGACATAAACGTTATTGTTTTAAATTAAATACATAATTTGTTGTCCAAGAAATTTTGGTTGACTTAATTTCATCTCAACTTTAGACTATATTGTAATCTTAATCCTAATTGAATACTTATTGTTCGTATTTATCTTTTCAAAAGTGTTGTCTTTATATTTTAGAAAATTCACAATTGTTTACAATATATATATATATATATATATATATATATATATATATATATATATATATATGGTGTAATTATATACTAAATCTAACATATTTACTCAGGGTAAAATTAGTCATAATTTATAAATAAAAAAATTAATTGACCGATGTTGAAGTTTTTTATATTAAAATCACGTGAAAAAAAAAACAGAGGACCTAAAAATACGGATGATGAATTAAGAACAAAAATTGTATTATTCTTATTTATTTATGAATAAAAATATTAGTTACCATCCATACAAATATTAAGTAAAATAAATGAATGCAATAATGAATATACATTTTGAGAAATTACTCTTTAGTTTTGATATATTATTTTTATTTAATTTTTCACTTAAAATCATTTTAAACGATTTTGTTATTATATTTATTTGTCTAAGTTCATTGAAAATATTTATTTAATTATTTTTATTTGAGGATTAAAGAATAATCAATTATTATATTTTAGATTATTATTATTATCTTATTATCTTTTGGTTTATGAGAATAATAAATAAAAAAATTAATCTTATAATTTATTTTAAAATATAATATTATTTTATTTTTAAATTAACTTAAACGTGGGAATACTTTTACAGGTGGGTTGACCGAATATAAGAAAATAAACTTCATCCATCTCGAAATTAAAATTCAAAACTAAATCACCAATCTTATAAATACATTTATCATATTTCTCTCAGTATAAAAATGTTACATAACTGTCTAATGTATATTTTCATCTATAAATTTTTTATCCATACAGAAGTATTACATACTTCGTTTTGACACCTCGTATTTTTAATATTACATTCTTAATTACACAATAACAAATTATTTTGGGAGTTAAGGGGTTCAGATAGTTTAAAGTTTTTTTTTTACGTAATTTATGATTTTAATCTCCTAAATTTAATAAATATTTAATATATATAATATGTTTATTTATATATTTATAGTTTTATCTATCCATTTTTTTTATAATTTTTATATATATTCTTTTTAAATTTAATAATTATTTAATATATTTAAATATATATATAATTTTTTTTTTCATATTTTTATCTTCTAATATATTAGTTCGGCATTCTTCTTCTTTTTTCTTCATCTAAAGGCTCTTCATATTATGAAGAAGTTGTCCAAGTCAAACTCTTCTTATTGCGGGAGAAGGTTCTGGTAAGCTCGTCAGGTGCTGCCGTAAGTAGTAACTCCTAGCGTTGCTAAAACTTTCTCTTTAAGGCCCATTATCGTATGATTATAAAAAAAAAACGGTATCACAGATAATCTTTCCTTTCGTTCTTCTCGCCAGGGTTTGAAGAATACGAAGATTCTACACTATAATTACGTGGGGTACGTAAGTATTTTTTTTTCTAATGTATATATTTTTCATATATATATATAATTTTTTTTCTTTTTATATATTAATGTTACTAAAGAATTTATTTGATTTAATTTTCACAGGCCATACAATACCGAGTAGTTTGCGTTATCATTTATATTTTCCATACATAACACTTTTTTAAATATGTTTTTAATTATCAAAACAGTTATTATTAATATCTTAAAATGATTGTTAAAGAAGTAAATATATTGATTTCATATTTATTGAAGAAAACTAAAATTTACGGAGTTTATTGAATAAAAATAATAACTTTAAGTTTCACATAATCAGAAAACAGAAGGAAAAATTCACTTGTTAAAATAATTTCATTCACCTTGATTATGATGTCTTTTAATTTTTTTAATGGATTAATAATATAAATATAAGTATAATAATATAGGGATAAGGTGTGAAAATTACACTGGAGAAAACACTGGTGCTTTTAACATAGACGGGAGAAATCTGACATCTTCATTTCTATAATATTTAACAGTATTAACCAATAAGGTTAACTCAAGTGGCGGCGTGTGGGTGGTTTCCTTGAGAAACGGAATCGCTGCGAAAATGGGGCGGGGGTGGTGGTGGAAAGTAGCGGTGTTGGCGGTGGCCGTGGCGGTGTGGAGAGCTTGGCAGGGCGGTGGATGGGACAAGGAGGCGGCGTTCAGGTTGGCCAGAGAATGGTCGGAGAATTTAGGGATTTGGGCGATCCCTCTCTACGTGTCGCTCCACACGCTCTCCATCGCTCTCTGTTTGCCCTCTGCAATCTTCTTCGAAACCGCCGCTCCTCTTCTCTTCGGTTTTTTCCCTTCTGTCTTATGCGTATTCTCCGCTAAAGTCCTCGCCGCCTCACTCTCCTTCTCCATCGGCAGGTTTGTACCACTTCTTCACGTTTCTTTACTCATTTACTTTAGGATGATTTATTTGTGTCGTGAAATTAGAACTATTTTAGTCGTTGACTTTGCTTTTAACGTGCTTATAGCTTGTTTATTGTTATTTCGTTAGAAAGGAACGATTAATTGATAGTTGATTTTGGCGTAGGAACTCTACCTGTGGTTGATCGAACTGATTCTTTTATTTCTGTTCTTTTCTGGCTGCAATTTAAACTGAATAGCTCATGTTTGGGCTTTTAATCAGTTACTGCAATTTTTAATTTATGGAAACTATTTGATTGATCTGAACAATTTGAAGATCACATCTTGAGTGATTAGTCAAGCGAGCAGAGGGGATAATGAATTCTCCTCTGTTGTTAGTCCTCATTAAGATTTTAAACTGTGATCACAATCTTGTTGTGTTCTGTGGGAAGTTGAAGATAGTGTGGCCATGATCGTGGTTGTGGACTGATTTTTATTACCTTGGTCCTTCCCTCAATCTTGTTTGTTAGTTGGCTCTAAATAAATTAATTGGAATTTGGAGCTCCTTTTGTATATGGAAAGTGAGTGCCACGAACTTTATTATCGCTGTCTGTTTGGTATTTTCCTGTTTATGTTAAGCTTCATGCCGTTTTTCGTGGGAATCTCTTGGGATAATATTCTATAAGCAAATGGAAGCTGTTTTTGTGCTGACTTGTGTTTGTTTTTATACCTTTGTTTTCTTTGCAGATGTTATATTCTCCTCTTTAGTCTTTTTTATTGTTCCTCGCTTTGCATTTTAATAAAATTTCCCCTTCTATAACTCAGTCAAAATAATTAGAGAAGCATGGCAGCACTCTTTGGAACATGTTCTAGCCAAAAAACCTTGAAATTTTTTTCAGACGCTGATACTAGAACATTATTCAATGTGTATGTCTTTCTTAAATTAGGCACTGGGGTGTATTTATATGCTCATCAATTGATACTCACGTCTGTGCTATGATAGAAGTCTTTGCAAGTTAAGATACTGTTTACTTATAGTCCTGCTAATTTAGGCATACGTTACTTATAGTTGTGACTTGTGTCCATCATTCTTGGCCTCAATGTCGAAGTAATCAAATTTCGTATTTTTAAGCTAACATGTGCCCAAGAAAGGGATCATTCTAGTGCCAAACAGTGTAATAATACTACTGAACACAATCCTTTTTATTCACTTTTTAATCCGAAATTTATTGAAAATAATAAAATTTTATGGTTCCACTTAATAATGAACATCACTAATTATTTTGTAGTGTTTGACAAATTTTAATCTGTAGAAACTGTGGTAGCGGATACTATTGACAACACTCATAATTATAAACGTTTGCTAACTTCTTCACTCATGTTAAGGAGATATGGTAATTAGTAATGCCTTTGTTATGCTTCCAGGGTTCTAGAATACAAAATTTGGACTGACTCCATGTTCTTGATTAGTTGGTAGGAGGTCGATGTTCAAAAGCGGTGCTGTCATTAGTACCTAAACAGTAGTGAATTTTCTTAAAACCGTGTGAGTTTAGGTGACTTAGCTTGTGTCCTCAACTCAAGCACTATTAGGTGGACCTAATTTATGCCACGGGAATGGGAAGAATGATACATCATCTAATTCAAGTTGACCTTAAAACGTGTTGAGTTCGTCTTTATAACTTCATCAGAATAGAAATTCAAGAGAACCATTGACATTTAAGTTTTTGCATATTTGACTTTACTGCCGACTGCCGAAAAGAGTTGCTAGTGTATATACAAGTCAACAATAAATGCTCATTCATAGGTTTAGTGAACGAGGCTTTTGTGTTAATACTATTCTAGTTTAACTTGTCTAGCAAGTAGTAACACAGATATCCTCGTGTGACGCATTGTCGGTTTGATTCCATGATGCTAACTTAAGCATGCATGTAATTTCTAGGGTGTTTCTCTAGGTTTGTCTTTGCTGAATTTTGGGTTCTTTCAGGTTGGTATTCAGGAGTTCAAGCTCTGCAATGGAGTGGGCCAAAAGAAACAGATATTTTAACATGATCTCTAGAGGAGTTGAGCGAGATGGTTGGAAATTCGTTCTTCTTGCTCGCTTCTCACCTGTGCCCTCTTATGTTATTAACTATACCTTGGCGGCTACTGAAGTTAGGTTCCTATTGGATTTTCTTCTTCCTACCACGATTGGATGTCTCCCAATGATCTTGCAGAATACATCTATTGGAAGCCTTGCTGGTGCTGCTGTTGCCAGTGCCTCTGGCTCTAAGAAATCTCAATTTTGGTCCTACTTTTTTCCTGTAGTTGGTATTTTGTCTAGTGTACTTATTTCTTTGAGAATTAAAAAATATTCAACCCAAGTTTCAGTATCTGAAATCCCGCCCAGCAAAAATAATACCGATGATTAGTGACCTTCCTTATCTTAATGTGAAGAAATGGAGTACCTTCGAAAAGGTGAAGGGTCATTTTTGTTCAGTTAGTGTTTTTAACATTATACACACTCCCCTAAAAATGTTTTCGTTGGGACTTGATCATCTTTTAGTCTGGTAATTGTACTTCAGTTCAGTTATTTAAACTCTGGTTAGAGAGATTTTGTTTAATCATATTTAAATCCTTTCCCTAGATACAGTAGAACTTGCACAATAATTCTTAGCAAATTGTTCATGAACTGAGCTGAGGTGTTTGGTGGTCCTACCTGAACTTTTTCGTACTAAAAACTCTGTCAGACTAAAGATCCAGCGCTACAAATTACGCAGGTTTGTGAATGAGATGGGAAGAATGCGTTATGATATGATGTTATCTGTACGCGTTTAGAATTATAAAATGTTTGAATTCTATTAAAAACAGTGTGACATACACGGGTAGCTTCCTTTGAGGCCAGGTTAGTGAATTTCTCAAAACTTATGATGGCCTTTGTCTGAAATCATTAGGAGGGATTAAGTTGTTAAGAAGTTATTGAGGTGAATTTGGACTGAATGAGATTTATTCTGATGAAATCATCTTACTGTATCATTTAAAGCAGTATTAAAAATGGGAAGGGGTGGAGTGAATTGTACGCCAGCAACAGCAGGCAAGAAAATAATCGATGATATTAATGAGAGCGATTATGATTCCTGCACAAGTGCTGTTGCATAGCGTAAATGCGCGTAACAGGTGGCTGCATTGACATTTAACGGGGAACCACACGTCCCATCGGTCATTATCATGGGGCTTAATTAATCTTCATATATGAAAGTGCAGCATGCCAGTTTCAAAATTCTACTATGCCGACAACAAAGGAGCGTATCCTATCCTCCTAGGAAAACTCCACACGAAGCTGTAAAGTAATTCAGTGTTACGTGCGCACAAACAAAACCCACACTCAAATTGTTCATAACAAAAATGACTCTGTCTTTCTGTGACATTCGAATGCAAAGTGGTAGAAACAAGCAAGTGTACCACACACAAAACACATCGCGTTTTCTTTGAGCTCAACTTGTTGCGTGTTTGGTTCCACTGTCTGACACAAATTGGATTCATGTCTACAAGTTACTTCCCAGTAACTAAACTTTTGTATTCCTTTTTGGATTTGATACTAAAAAAATAAGGATATCTATCCACAAATAGGATCCCAATCAAAACACATCGTTTTGTTTTAAAAGTCAATCGAAACAGTGTTAATAGAAGCCACAGTATAGGCTCTATTTCATCTATAGACGCTTGATTATAGATGATTGGGAAAATTAAGGATGTAATTTAAATAGGGATTACAAGGAAACTCGTAAAGGAGGATTGATATGTTTCTATCTGGAGTTTGTCACAGAAATTGTCACAGAAAGTAAGGGGCGGGAGCGGCCGTTCCAATTTTATATTTAAATTAAAAATTTAAAATGTTAATATTTTAAAATTATTTTTTTATTATATATAAGTTATTATTTTATATTTCACCAATTTTTATTTTTCTTTTTTAATCGTTTATATCAATTAATTTATTACATTATTCTCTCTTACTTTTCAGTTTTTCACATTTTCTTAATCTCTCCCATCAATTTGTTTTTTTTTTCAATCTTTTCAACCAATTTGATGAATATAAAGTTAATTTTGTTTATTCTTTATCTTTTTCTAAATATTTTAGATAAATCTTAGTAATAACTAATATTATTTTATTTATAATTTATATTTATTAGGTTTTATTATGTTATTTTTTTATTTTATTATTCTTATTTATCATATATTAAATTTTATCTTAATAAAATAATTATATTTAAAAGGATTAAAAAAATTGATAATGTAAACTTTTATTACTTCAAACTAATTAAATAAGAATTAACTTATTAAATATTTCCTTATAAATTATATATTTCATATTTTTAAATGATAACTTAAAAATGAATTAACTTATATATATATATATATATATATATATATATATATATATATATATATAATCAAATGTTTGAATACAGTATTATAATAATAATATTGTAAGTATTTAAATATTTGAATATAGTGTTATAATAATAATATTATTATAAATAAAAAATGATTAATTTTTATATATATATATATATATATATTTTAATATAAATATAATAAATTAAAATGTATATTTAATTAATAATAATTATAAATTATAAATATTTATTTATATATAAAAAATAAATAGTAAAATTAATTTATTATAAATGTAATAATCTTTTTAAAAATAATATAGATCGAAAGCAGGTAGAAACTTGAAATCCATCAAGAACAGGGATAGAAATTTAATTTTTAACTCCGACGAGGATCAAGAGCGGAGACAAAAACAAAAATGTTAAAAAAATCGGAACTAAAATGGGAAAGTCAAAATCTTCCCCTGCCACGTTGCCATGCCTAAATTTAAACTACGGAATGTACATGCAGCTGTAATTAGGTTCTAGCACATGTTCACAAAAAAGCACACAAATTGTTGTATGATGCAAAAACAAACGAGCAGGTTTTATAGTTCTTTTTTTTCGTAGAAGCCCACATTGTAGGCCTCTAATGGCGTGGTCTTAAAAATGAAACGATACATAAAGAATATTCGGCCTTTTCTTTTTGGTACCTCCGTAATTGTTTCCTGCACATCTCCATCGTACTAGATTATAAAAAATGACCTTGTAACACTTTCTGGACTATATTATCTACAATATATAAAAACTTTCCTGATTATATATTTCAGAAATATTTTAGAAAAATCATATTTGAAAATAAATTCTATACATTTTTTAAAATTCTTTTGAAAAGTTTATTTCCTATGATGGATGTTGCGAAATGATTTGGAATATATTATCTACAATATATAAAAACTTTCCTGATTATATATTTCAGAAATATTTTAGAAAAAACATATTTTGAAAAGAAATTCTATACATTTTTTTAAATTCTTTTGAAAAGTTTATTTCCTATGATGGATGTTGCGAAATAATTTCAGAATCTTCATTTTGATTTTGATTTTGAAATATGTTTTTGGTAAAATATATTTGAAATCGTAAATAAAAAATTGTTTGAAACACTGGGAATAATATTTCATAGCAAATGCGAGGATTTGAAAAGCTCGTTTTCGTTATATCATTGTATTGAGAAGGTGTAGGAAGCAATAATGGAGTTTTTACGAAAGAAAGGGTGAGTGAGAATAAATAAGATGGGGAAAATTGAAGGCCCACTAAAGCATGGGCCATTGTTTGACAATAGAGAGGCCCAGGAGATGGAGAGAAAGAGAAGAGAAGCAAGGTGTTTGACCAAAGAAAAACAGAGTTGAGAAGGACTGTACTGTTGGTAGCTCTCGCGCAGATGATTGAATGAAGTCAGCAATTAGCTTCTTCACCGATCCAGTTTTGGTGAGAGGAGCGAAGTGAAGAAGAAGAGGAAGAAGAAGAAGAAGAAAGAGAAAGAAAAGGAGGAAAAGAAGAAGAATCGGACTGTACTGTAAAATGCTACAACCCCGCGCATTTCGCCCCTACATACCCTTGTCCTCATCCAACAGCGCCCCTTCCTTCTCCTCCTCCTCCCCAAACCCTAACGACTCCATCCCTTCACAGTCGCGTCACGCCCATGGCAACGGCACCTCCACCGCCCCCTCCTCATCCAGATCCCTCAAAACCCACTCATCATTCGCCCATAACTACCGGATCGCCATCGCCCTGGTCCCCTCCGCCCTGTTCCTCCTCGACCTCGGCGGCACCTCCGTCGTCGCCACCCTTGTCGTTGGCCTAATGATCTCCTACATCCTCGACGCCCTCAGCCTCAAGCCCGCCGCCTTCTTCGCCGTGTGGTTCTCCCTCATCTTCGCCCAACTAGCCTTCTTCCTCTCCGCCTCCTCCTCCCTCCTTGCCGCCTTCAACTCCTCCGTCGCCGTCGCTGCCCTCGCTTCCTTCCTCTGCGCCCACACCACCTTCCTCCTCGGCGTCTGGTCCTCCCTCCAGTTCAAGTGGCTCCTCCTTGAAAACCCTTCCATCGCCGTCGCCCTCGAACGCCTCCTCTTCGCCTGCCTCCCCATCTCTGCCTCCGCTCTCTTCGCCTGGGCTTCTATCGCCGCCGTCGGAATCAACAACGCAGCCTACTACCTCGCCGCCTTCAACTGCTGCTTCTACTGGCTCTTCTCCGTTCCTCGCGTCTCCTCCTTCAAGATCAAACACGAGGCCAGGTACCACGGTGGTGAGGCTCCCCGTGACAGCTTCATCCTCGGCCCCCTAGAGAGTTGCGTCCACACTCTCAACCTTCTCTTCGTTCCTCTCTTGTTCCACATTGCCTCCCATTACTCTCTCCTTCTCTCTTCCGCTGCTTCCTTCTGCGACCTCCTCCTCCTCTTTTTCGTTCCCTTCCTCTTTCAGCTCTATGCTTCCACCAGAGGGGCGCTCTGGTGGGTTACCGGCAACCCCAACCAGCTCCACAGCATTCGTGTTGTCAATGGCGCTGTTGCGTTGGTCTTTGTCGTCGTTGCATTGGAGGTCAGGGTGGTTTTCCATTCCTTTGGTAGGTACATTCAGGTGCCTCCGCCGCTGAATTATGTTCTTGTGACTATTACGATGCTTGGAGGGTCTGCTGCTGCCGGTGCTTATGCCATGGGTCTGGTTTCCGATGCCCTCAGCTCTGTTGCGTTCACTACTTCTGCTATTGTGGTCAGTGCTGCTGGAGCAATTGTTGTGGGGTTCCCCTTGCTGGTATGCAGTTACAGAATTGTTAATTTTATACACCGTTTAGTCTTCACTTTTTGCATTGGTGGAAGCTACTAGGAGTAGGAGTGAGATACTGTTACAATTACAAGTTTGATTAGTTAGTTGGTCAAACCCCTGCGCTGTCATTGTAATAAATTAATTAATGAATTAGTTGTGTATTCTCCCTACCATGAGATTTTAAGTCTTAAGTTTCCCTTAACTTGTGCGCCTCGGCATTCTTATGTGGAAGGGTG